TTTAAGAGAACAATATTTCACATTTAAAATATAATATAATTTATATAATTACATATATCATTCATTATTTTTAATAACAAACATAACATAATATAATTTATATATTATCGATATAAACATATTATTTAGACACTAATAAATAAATTATATATTAACTTTTATGATAATTTTATATATGAGTAATTTAGTGCTCTACCAATAAATAAGTAATAATAATTTATATATAAATTATAATTAATTTATATATAAAATATAATTAATTTATTTATTTAATAATAATTATAATTTAATAATAATTAATTAAATTATAACTATAATTTTATATATGAGTAATATGTTATATCCAAAAATAATTTAATATTTTTAAAAAACTTTAAATTTTTAAATATAATTATATAATGAATATTCATTATTTAATAAATTATACATTATAAATAAATATTATATATATTATTTTAAAAGTAATATATTATTTTACTAACTATTATGACAATTTTAAAATTGTATACTGCTAATGCTCTGCCAATCACTTTATTAAAAACTTTAATGAAAACATACAGTTTCTATAGCATACTACTACTGCTTTATCATCTGCTGTACCAATCAAGACCTTAGACTACAAAAGGCATTCAAGTCTTTCAACTTTCAATCCACCAAACTATGAAAACAACTCTCAAATCTCTCATGAAAGTGTAGCTTCTAGCTGTGGAAATAAATAATTGGCAGAGCTTAAGGTACATCTTATACAATAAAGTTGAGTTTTCTCCCTTCTTAGGGTGTTCAACTCAACATCATAGGGTGGGGTAAAAAAAGCCACGTCAGCAGTTAACCCAAGCATTCAATCTTAATTCAATCGCGTCCCGTCCGGTTTTCTTTTTCAATTCCGTATTGGTATGTTCTATAGTATGTTGGGCTTTGCTGTTTTTTTTTACAATATTTAAAGGCCCAACATTAAACCAAGACACTCTCCAGACTTCATCATGTATTTGTCCGGTTGTCTTAATTAAATCACGGTTTGAACCGGTCGTATATTTTCTTGGGCTGGGCTGATTTTGTAATCTTATTGAAAGGTCCAAAAATATTTTCGGTCTTTGCTTCTTCTTCATTCCCTCTTCCATCGACTTATCGCTTGAACTTAGGAAACGCAAACCACGATCTCAACACTGTAACGCCTCAGCCTCGCATTAATATGTAATTAACTCTGAGCTTTTACATTATTATCACACTGGGACGCATGTAGTTCATCTCTTCGCCTACCACACAAACCGGCAAGTGTTCGATTATAAATATCACACCCTCCAACCATGAACAACGCAACTCAAACAACATCCAGAAGAAAACTTTGTTCTAACTACCGATTCCTGCCATGGCGACCTCCTACACTCTCCTCGCTGATTTGAAGGCCGGTCTTTGCGCTGACACGGGGGAGGTGCGACTACTCCATTTTTGATAGGCCAGAAATAGCAACAAAGCCGGGGAACTAATAAGTGTTGACATGTTGCTGATTGATGAGAATGTAAGAACCTCTGATTCTGGTTAACCCTCTCGACAATACATTCATTCCGATTTCTATTGTAGAGAAAATGAAAGGAGAAGGTTGTAGATTTATAAGAGCCACTGTTGACTCTCATTGATTTAATTCTATCGGAATCTCCCCGATCATAGTCGCAGATTGTGGGCACAATACATCCACATGCGGCTACTCTAAATCTTCTACCCGCTCCAGTATCTTTAACGGTTCGTTCCTTGTCCATTCAGTTTTCGTTTTTGATCGATTCGTTGAGGATCACTGATACAATGATGATATGATTGATAAAGATGCGACCTTTGCGTATGTTTCTAGCTTATTCATTGATAACTAACTTCTCAGTGACTGTGTCTTTATCTCCAATACAAGTTTTTGGGCAGAGAGACTCACTGTTAATGATTACCAAGTTTTGTTGCATCCATCTTGAGATTCATAGATTTGATATATGTGTAGATAAAAAGTTTGAATTTGAAATAAAGTTCTGATTTTGTTGATGATTTAGCTTTGAATTCATTTTGATTAATGCTTTCTGTAGTGTCAAATTCTTCCTTCAAGTATGCGAATCCATTTATCGTTTCTGAAACCTAAGAGAAAAGGGTTTCGCTTTTAACCCAAGAGAAACCAATTATCATCTATCTTGTGTCAAAGATACAAGTGTGATATTATGTTTTAGTTAGCTTATAATAGCAGCCATACTTTCTTTAGTAAGCTCTTTTTATCAACTGTTGTGAATAATCTGAAGTCAGTACATACTACAGAAAAGTTGCATTATACAATGAAAGCAATGGCCTCTGTTATCCCTATTATGTTATTCCTTTTTATGTATGGTCACGTTATTTATCTCTTGGTTGTTGACTAGGTGAAAACATGGTCTCCACTTCTGAACACGTTCTGCAGCAGCATAAAGCTAGAGCTGGAGTTGGTGTACATAGTCCAAATGCAATAATGCCATGTGGACGCAATTTTTCCCAGAAAAAAAGTAAGGTCGTGACCTTTATCTTTTCCCTGAAGACACCATCCTCCATTTGTTATGTAAAGGAAACTACTCAAGAGAACATGTTAGTCCATGGGAATTATGTACGACATTTCATCTCCCAACTTGGTTTCAAGACAAAACTTATTCGGCCTCGGAGGATTTTGGGTGACGTTTTTTGCTAAATTTTGTGGTGAATGTTGCAGCCAAACCTTTTTGAAAATCCTAGAGCCATTTTTGAATTGACTTAAAGAAGCAGAGGAATGACGTTTCTTCTCCATCCTGCTCTGAATTTTTGTTTCTTTTCTAAAGTGAATAATTTTAGAGTTCTATCTATCTATAAACTCTATTGTTTATGATATTTTCGCAGCAGTCTGCTTTTTATTGATGTTTTTTAGCAATAAGTATGCTTTTTAGATGATTGTGTTTTCTTTTCAGTTGACTATTTGTTAGTATATGAATTTGTATGCCGGTTTTTAGTTGACGATTGATGGTAAATCATAGTAGAAACTGCCTCATGTAAAGTTAATTTGATTCTCCTTCTATAAAAACTAAAATCTAAGACTAAAATGTAATGTCTATATTGATTGGAAACAAAATTTACTCAACCTTTTAATGTAAATTCATCATTTAAAGTTCATCCGCAATGAGAAACATCAAAGAAAGAAAATCTAATCTTTTTGGACTTCATGGGTTGGGGAATAATTATGTTGATGACCAAAAAAAACACTACAACAAGAAATATAGCTATTATATTATATGTTAAGAACACAATGCACCTATTCCTTTAACAACTATGTAGACAAAATTACCTTTCATTTTTGAGAAGAATGATCTCACTGGAAGTAAATTTCCATTTATAGCTTCATTTAGAAAACTAATCTAACTATTAAATCTGAGTTTCTTTTTTACCTTTTCAGTTTTTAGTGGTACTATAACTCATAGTAAATTGCCGCTTAATACATATACTGATATACATGTCTGGAGAAGTTGGATATCGTACATTACAACACAAACTATATTTCGTCAGTTACGTTAATCTCAAATGTTGAAAAGTATGAAAAGTTATATTTGGTTTGGTTCAGTGTATTGACGGGAAATTTTAGTTTTTATCATACTGGTTGTGATTGTTCTTTAAACCATTATATTAACAAAATCACCAAAATAATAAAGCAAATTCCTTAAAGTATTATCTTATTTAATTAAGCTAATAGGAAAATCATAAAACATAATTTATTATATATATTTTCTTAAACACATCGGTTTACGACAAAGAGATCTCCATCAAGTCAGTAAAGAAAAATTCATCTAGTCAATAAATAACAAAGCAACACTTTAAGTTTTTAAGCTATGGCTATCTCTTTTGTGTGAAATTTTTGATGGTTTTTTGTTGATTATTGTGTACAATTATTTTAAAGCTTATAAAAAACTTATGATACCTAAAAAAATGATTGATTTCAAATTGAAAACTAGCTTTACCTAAACCAACAGAAAAAAAATGGGGGCACATAAAAGTGGAGGCTCCATGCAAATGTTTAATAATAATTTTGTGCATGTTCGACTTTGCCATCACACGACATGTCATGCAATTATCTCCAACTCAGTTATCTCCAACACTAACTGAAGCTGCTAAAGACACTCATATTTACAAGAAACTATAACTCAGACTGTTGACCATCTATCCACTTGCATCTTTAATAAAGTATAATGATCTCATGACCAACTGCTTATTAGCCGGAAATTTAGAAGCTTACTATATCAAAAGCATTCAAGAATATTTTGAAAAAAAAAAAACACAAAACCAACGTTGGTCTCCATCATCTATAAAAAAATATATCTAGATACATTTTATTTTTACGTATAACCATGCTATGCATGCGAGAAAACTATGTTGGAGAAGTATACATTAATAACATTGGTTGATAATAAGCCCATAATGTGGATACTCAATTTTGGAACCACTTTTTTAAAAAATATTGCATGGAGTACAAGTTCAATGACTGGATTGTTAGTCCACCGTTACAAACAAATAAAGGTAGAATTTTCAGTTACCCAAACATCATTAACAAAAGACGCAAACACTGCTATTTATACAAGGAAATGAATAAGTTCGTCTATTTCATTTAAAACATGTTGTTCAATATTTATATCTTAATATTATAATTCAAAACACAACAAAAATTATTTCTCTGCTATAAAAATAAATTATCATTCTTTTACGAAAAAGCTCATGTATCTTATCAGTCTCTAACATATAAAATTCCTAATATCATATATACAAATAATTGAAGTTGCATCAGTCAGCCGCATCTCACTATTTGAATGTGTCCATAAACACCAATAGTAAAACACATAACCATAATTCTAACTTATACAACAAACCAACAAAATAATTTAAAATTTTGATAACACAAATGTCAAACAATCCGCACCACAAATGTTAAACAATCCGCGCGTAACGCGAACATACCACTAGTTAAAAGGAGCTGTTTTTGATAGGTTGAAAATGAAATGGTAAATTTGAGAAAAAAAATTCATACATTAGAAAGGTTTTTGGGAGTTTAGATTTTACCATTACTGACGCCAAAAAAAAGGATTCTCTAAAACAATAAATTCTTTAATATCCAAAAAGAGTAAAACAAATTGAAACAAAGCTAAAATTAACAAAATCTACAAAGATTTGAAGTTTAGTTTAGCCAGTGATGTTCTGAGACTTGTTGAGGATAACTCCTTCATACTTGACTTGGAACCATTTCATTGCATCATCTTTGGTCACTCTGTGTTGGATACCAACACGAGCCTTGCACCTGCGGCGACGAGCAACACGGTAGCCTGGGCGCTCGAGAACAACATAGAAGTCCATTCCGTAAATACCAGTAGATGGATCATACCTAAATACACAAAGTGTAGATAGCTGAGAATCACAAATAAAGACCAAAGTATTCATTTTAAGATATCTAAATCTACCATTTCACAAAGAAACCCCCAAAGCCGTAATGAATATTTTATAAATCTTAAATCTAATATTCCACAAACATGTAAGTTCATCATCTTTAATCAATTCCACATCTGACTCAAATGAAAAAAGCATGAAGCAGAAGCTTTATACATAAGCTGACCTATAAAAACCCTATAATGTATATGAACCAAGCATCAACATAAATCAAATTTAATAAAGTACTTACTTGATTCCAAGATCAATATGCTCCTGGATACCAAATCCGAAGCAACCAGTGTCACTGAAGTTCCTCCTAAGAAGCTCATACTCCTTAACTTTCAAACCACTCTCAAGAAGCTGCATTGCCTTATCGCCTCTCACGGTGACATAGCACGCAATCTTTTCGTTACGCCTGATACCAAAGGACCTCACAGTGTACCTCGCTGTTATAACCAAATAATAAACCTAATTAACAAATAATAAAATCAAAAATAAAACTATAAAGATTCCTTAGAGATCACATTCAAATACCCTTTGAGAAAACAGGGGTTTGGCCACTGAGCTGTTCCAAAACCTAATAAAGACCAAACACAATGATTCAGAAACACAATGTCTTAAAGTAACAATTTATTAATGTTGTTCAAAAAAAAAGATGGGACCTTGGAGGCACGAGTGAGACGATCACCACTCTCACCAACGGAGATGTTAAGAACAAGTTTCTGGACCTTAATGTCCCTCATTGGGTTCGACAGCTTCTTCTCCGACGCCTGCAATCACAGGACAAAATTTTGAATCACGAAGCCATCAAAGATAACACATCAGCATTGAAATTGATCTAAAAGAGAGAGGGAGTACCATTTGGAGGAGATCGACAATCGAGCTGAAAGAGAGGAAGCAAAGAGAGTTGCGGTAGCGTAGCTGCGTCGTGTTGGAAGAGAAATGAGTTATATGGGACGGAACTAGGGTTTCTCTAAACAAAAATGGGCCAATGTCACAAAGCCCATGGGCTTAAGCATAAACTTAGATGTTTTGTCGGCCTTATTTCATTTATAAATGAAAAGCACAGAATAATTTTGAACTATCTTTCACCACCATTCACCCGGTTTGTTTCGATTCCCGTTTTCAATTAGTTTTTATCAATGTTAAAGCCAACTATGGGATAACTAAGCATTTTGAGACGACAAGTGATTAGGCAGATTATTAGGGTATACACCAAGCATTAGACGTTAACAAATTATTGATTTATTTTATATATGTTTTGCATTTATAGAAGATATTTTATTTTAGGTTTAGTTCTAAAATTATTTTGATTAATTCCAGAAATTTGATATAGAAGACAAAACAAATTAGAAATATTTGTGGATTTTTACTAACATTACTGCTTAGTTTAACAAATTTAAATTACGTTAAATTGATTTAAACCAATTTCAACCGATTTACAACAATTTAAACTAATTTGAATCGTATAACCGAATTTAAGAAAATCATTTTGGTCACGATTAAGTTGCCATCTAGACACCTCCAAAACCATTGTTGAAACCATGAGTTTTATTGACTTTATTAAAAAAATTGATATATTTACATATGTACCTATTTTCCAAGTAGCACATCTCTTACTTTTGTTTATGTATGTCAGGTTTATACCTTTTGCCACAATAAAATCAACTGGTTTTCACTAGTAAACTTTTGCCAGCCATGATCTATTTTTTGTGAGGCACTTCAAAAAGGTATGGAAAAAAGAGATTGACATAGATCCATACGTTTTTGTAGATAATTAATTCAGAAAGTCATTCGTTTTTTTTACAGTATGACATCGATCTTCTCCAACTGTCTAAACGAATTTTAGTCTCTAGATCATGGTTTCTACTATGTCGGTAAAACGAAAAACTTCTACCAAAAGGGAATTTTTTCATATTTCATATCGAACTTAGATTTTGACTACAAGAACCTATAAAATGGACTCTTAAAGCCTAGAAGAAGAGGAACGACTATTCTACACTTCAACTAGATATCCGGCTAGTACTAGGGTTTACTCATGCTCTTTTGATCAATAAACATTACTTTTGATAATTTCTTCTTGCTTTACTGCACAACTTCATGATTTTAGTCTAACAAAGAACTCTGTTTTATTTTACCCTAACAACATGTATATGTTATAAGGAGGTTCATAAAAAGTGTTACCAAAAGCCTTGCTGATAAATTCGGGGATCAATCGTTGAGCATCTCTTTCCTTTATATATTTTTGAAGTATCTCAACATATTATTATTAAAGCATAATTTAATTAGTTTAAATTTTTAAAAGATTAGTAATCCATTAAATGGAAAGATTATAAACTGTGTTTTGAGTTCAAGAATGGATTTTCATTAATTCTCTAACTAATCATCTGCATTCATGATCTGATTTCCTATAAATTTTCTGATGCCCGACGCTTTTCATCCATCATTTAGATTTAATTCTTTCACAAGCTGCTTTCAAAAACCATAATCTTTGTGTCGTCAAGCTTGATCTAAGCTGAAAACTGATGTGTGTTTTTTCCTTTGTGAATTTGATCTTGTACTACCACTACTACGTGCTTTGCTGCGTACTTCCAGTTAGTTTATTAGGTTAAAACCTGAGTAAATCAATTTCCCAATGGTTTGTCTTCCTAGTCTACATGTCCTTACCATCATGATCATCAGGATCGATTGGTCAAAGTAATGTGGATCGATCGATCCATTCCTCCAAAGCTCCCAAATAAGGGCTTGTGGTCGATCTATCTCATAATAGTAGATATATTGATCCCATAAAAGTGGATTGCTTTATCCTTTCCCAATTATGCCCTTATTTGACCCAGGCTATATTAAACTCAAAACCATCAATAGAACCATTTTAAAACTTGAAAACACATATATATACATGCAAATGTAATACACTCATAAATGCAATATAAATGAACCTAAATGTGATGAAAATAAATGTTAATAAGATGGAGACAATACAAGACATCAGAAAATAGTTAAATGGTTGAATGTAAAAACTTTTACCTAAGTATCAAGTAGAAAACTATATAAATAGTTAAAAGTATTTAAATTAATAAAAACAGTTTAAAATTGTATGAACTCATCAAAGTACTTGAAATATCTAAATTTTGACAAGTTAGGTAAAAAGAGTTAATAAATTTAGTTAAATAAGATTTTTCCAATAGTGTTCGGATTTCGGTTTTGATAGGGGTATAATTTCTTTTTGACATTAACATAAACAGACTCAACTAAGATTCTGCAAACCATAACGGTAACTCCGCATCCATATGAACAACAAATGACGGTTGCTTCCTAGCCCTTCGTGCAAGATTGTTAGCCCTTGTATTATGCGTTATGTGTATATGAATGAGCTCTGAGTGATTGAAATTTCCTTTCAGTATCTTGAACTCTTCCAAATAATTTGCAAAAGCAAGTTATTCTTCTGGTTTCTAAACCAGCTTCACTAATTAAGAATAATATGTTGCAACGTGACGTGATACTATCTTAAATTCCTTATACATTCCATTGCCCAGATAAGCGCTTCAACTTCTGAATGAAGTGGTGATAAACTTGCCCTCGTATTTCTCGCCCCCATTAATCCATCAAAACCTGGAAGAGTACTATACTAGTCTTGTTCGGAATGATTGTTATGTTCTTTCAATGACCCATACATAAAACACCATCTTCCAGTATGTGAGGTAATTCGTTCACCTCCAGCTCCCTTATTTGTGTAACCCTATCGATGCTTAAGCTTCCTTTCAAATCAGTGATTCAGTTTCTGCCAATTTTAGTGTATCTCTTGGATCGGTTTCTATGTTACTAAAAACCTTGTTATTTTTGTATTTCCAAATATATCATAAGACTCATGCAAAATGATGGTCTTCCATATGCGGAGACACCCTCGAGTACATATAATCCATGTTTGTGAAGACTGATTGAGTAGGAATGGATTTGATGGAATCCTTGATAAAGCCGAGACTTGAACTGCTGATGGGCATTCATAAAACACATGATTAATTGACTCCTCAGAAGCTCCACATCTTTCACAATGTGTATCCCATTGTATCTTTCTTGCTTTCAAGTTTTTAGGTAATATCCTGATATTATATGCCAAAAGAAATGATTTATCTTTGGTGGAAACCTTATTTTCTAAGATAAAGCCTTTAGAGGGATAAAATTTGCTCCATGTAACGACAATGTGTTATCTCTATCCGGATAACCCCGTTCTACTTGATAACCAAATTTCACCATATAGCTCCCATTATTTGTGAAATGTCATCCTTCTCGACCAACCATGTGATACGACTCAATGGTATACTTTCTATAATCTTTACATCCTACGGGTTTACCAAAGATTGGATTGTCTTAGTATTCCATGTATGTGACGTAGAGTTGTCGAAGGAATCGACTGTAAGATCAGGGTAAAGGTTACAATTGAGTTGATTACCATTTGCAAGTCTCGGGGGAGTGGTTGGGAGCGAGTGATCATTCCATACTGAAATAGATGATCTTGATCGCACCTTTTTTAATGATCCTTTTTTCTAACCAGAGATCTAGCAGATACAATACTACGCCATCCATAAGACGGAAAATACGATCTAATTGGTTCTAGTGGTGATGCATTCCTGAAGTACCTACCTTTAAAAAGTCATGAGAATGGATTTTGAGGCTTCTCAATCAAACGCCAAAATTGTTTTACCACATAGCTGTGTTGAAATCGTTGTGATTTTTAAATCCCCAGGCTTCCCTCTTCCTTGGGATGACGTAATTTGTTCCATGATTTCCAAGGCCTCTTGCATTTCCTCCGAACTTTACTAAAAGTGTACCACCGCACTCGTTAGTTTCTTCGTTACTGTTTTTGGTAAGCAATAGAACGACATAACATGATTTGGTAAAACTGTAACCACTAATCACCTCATTTCCCCCTTTGTTAAAAAAAATGAAAGTCCAACCATTTACTATGTTACTCAAGCGATCCTGAACAAAACCAAAAACTTGTGTTTTTGAGACACCCAAATTATTTGGCATTCCCAAGTATGATCTCATCCTACATACATTCTTGATCCCTACTATATCTCTGAGCTCAGGCCGATTAGGTTCCTCATCTTGGTTTCGGTTTTTACTATGTAGGTGGAAGTATTTTATATTTATCGAATCTGTTTTTTTTTTGTTTATCAGCTTCAGAAATGGCAAAGATAAGAGGAGGAGGAGGAGGAGAACAAGTTGACTTTTGTCGTAGTAGACGTAATCAAAGGTTGGAGGTAGAAGATCTAACACCGCACTAAAGGTGAATAATAAAATAACAGCAAAGAAAGTGGCTTCCATAAAAAAAAATTTAGTTGTAACGTCTAAGAGAAGAAGTGGTAGAAACAAGAAAGTAGTGCTCAAGATGATGAGGTGTAAGATGAAACACTGCAAGATGATGAGGTAAAAGATGTAACACCACAAGTTGTGGAAGAAGATAAAGGTATGACTATGCGACTGATCAGGCTGAGAAAGTAATGTCTGAAGATGATAAAGAAGATTCTGTGATAGGAGGAGAAACTTGTTTGACTAAACAAGAATATAAGAAGGATAAAGAAGCAGTTGCTGATATGGAAGAAGAAGGTGAACATGTAGAGAAAGGGAATGACGACAATGAGAATGAGAATGAAGAAGAAGTTGTCAATATGGAACAAGATGGAGTTAGAAACGCTCAAGATGATAGACTCCTGGTACTTAAGGAATTCAGCTAACATAGGATAAAGTGAAAGAAAAAAAAAAAGAGGACCAACAAAGAAGCGTAAAGTGGCTGAAAACCCTAATGAAAAAGTTGCAGTTACATTCACTGATTTTGGTGATCATGTTGGACCTGGCTC